TATTTATAACAGCAATTTTAATACAAAAAGCCTTACTATAAAGAAAAAACCAGGGGAAGAAAGATTATCTTTTACAATTGTAAGCAATGAAAGATTTTTAACCAGACATCAAATTACAGAATTTGAGACAGAATCCAATCATCAATGAATGGAATCCCTACCATAACACAGTGAATAAGTGGTCACCCTTTGTACTTTAAGCTTTAGCATTACAAAGCTAAAGCCTAGGCTAGCCTAATTACTTTGGGTATTACAAAAATTGGTGGCAGTAAAAGGATACTTAAATAATGCTGTACCGTGGCACTCAAATTGTGAGAGCTACTACACAGAAGAGAAACTCCCTTAGAGGCAATCCCTTTGGACTGATATTACAAACACAAATAGAAAATTTCCATTATATAAAATTTAAAAGGTTCTACATAAACAAGGTCCAAACAGGGTAGGAGACAGGGGTGGGGGTGGGGGATCTTTGCACTAATCTCTGAAAAGTCAGACATCCAAAATCAATCAGGAATTGACACCAATCTATAAAATTGGGAGCAATTCCCCAAGAAACAAGTGGTTGAAGGATATGAACAATTTTCAAAAGACAAAATTATTCAAAAAAACTACTAATAATAAGAATTAAGGAAATTAAAATAACTCTTTGACCTCATCATTTCATACTCAGAAAACTAGCACAGGCACTGCTAAACTGAACTGAATTGAAAGATGAGAAAAGATGGGAAAATTCAAAGGTGGAAGCGCTATTGGACACATTAATCAATCCACTCCTAGTGGAGCTATAAACTGATCAGATTATTCTGGAAAACAATTTGGAATTATGAAAATAATAAAAGCTACTTTGTTATTTATATCCTTTGACCCAGAAATCTCACTACTGAGACTACATCCCAAGGAGGTTATTTGATAGCAAGGCTTATAAGCAAAAAAATATCCATAGCAACATTATTACAACAAAATCTAGAAGCAAAATGAATGGTATATGGGGCTGATATCCTGCCTCTGATCATTACTACTCTAGTAACCTTGGGTAAGGCACTTAACCTTCCTAGGCTTTCTTTTCCTCATCTGTAAAATGAAAAATTGGATTAGACTAGGAATCCTTTTCCTCATCTGTAAGATGAGGAAATTGGACTATGTCAGAGGTTCTTAAACATTTTTGTGTCATGGTCAAAGACTGGTGAAACCTAAGGACACCCTTCTCAGGATGTTTGTTTGTTTGTTTTTTAAATTCATAACTGAGCTAAGAAATGAATGGTCAATCAGTAGACTAGATTAGGCATACAATACACCACAGTACAAGTACCACAGTAATCTAGTGTTTGATAGGTGCAAAGATCCAAGCTCTTGGGGTAAGAACTCAACATGTAACAAAAACTGCTGGGAAAACTGGAAAGCAGTTTGGCAGAAACTAGGCATAGACTACCTTCTCACACTGTATACCAAGACAAGGTCAAAATAGATAAAAGACAAAGGGTGCTAACATTAAATAAATCAGAAGAGCATGGAAAAATGTATCTGTCAGATTTATGGATGATAAGGGAAGAGCTTATGACCAAACAAGAAACAGAGGGCATTACAAAAAGTGAAATGGATAATTTTGATTATATGAAATTAAAAGGTTTTTGCACAAACAAAACTAATACAGTCAAAATTAGAAGGAAAACAGGAAACTGGTTTTATGGCAAGTTTCTCTGATAAAGGCCTCATTTATCAAAATATATAGGGAAGTGAGCCAAAATAATAAAAATAAGTTATTCCTCAGTTGATAAATGATAATGATCAGGTAGTTTTCAGAAGAAATCAAAGCTATCAATTATGTTATTCAATTGTTTTCAGTTATTTCCAACTCTTTGTGAAACCCATTTGGAGTTTTCTTGGCAAAGATACTACAGTGTTTTGCCATTTCCTTCTCCAGCTCATTTTACAGATGAGGAAACTAAGGTAAACAGGGGTAAGTGACTTGTCCAGAGTCACACAACTACTAAGTATCTGAGGCCAGATTTGAACTCAAGAAGATGAGACCCATTGCATCACCTAGCTGCCCAAAGCTATCAAAAATCACAAAAAAAGTGTTCTTAATCACTATTGATTAAAGAAATGCAAATAAAAACAACTCAGAGATTCAGCCTCACACCTATCAGATTGGCTACTATGACAAATGCTGGAGGGCATATGGGAAAATTCTGGAGAGCAATACTGTGCATATCCTTTGACCCAGCAAGACCAGTACTAGGTCTACATCCTAAAGAAATGAAGAAAAATGGAAAAGGTCCAGTAGTTACAAAGATATTTATAATAGCTCTTTTTGTGATAGCAAAGAATTAGATGCCCATTAACTGGGGAATAGCTGAACAAGTTGTGGTATATGATTGTGATGGAATATTATTGTGTTAAGAAATAATGAGCAGAATAGTTTCAGAAGAACCTGAGAAAATTTATATGAACTCATGCAAAGTGAAATGAGAACAGAACACTGTACACAGTAACAGTAATAACTGTGAAAGACTGATACTCTGATCAAGACAATGATCCAAGGCACATTGCTTATATTTTTATTTATTTCCCCAATTACATGTAAAAATAATTTTCAACATTCTTTTAAAAAATTTTTTGAGTTCCAAATTCTCTCCCTCCTCTCCCTCTCCTCCTTTGAGAAAGCAAGCAATTTCATATAGGTTATATATGTGCAGTCACACAAAACAAATTTCCATGTTAGTCATACTGTGAAAGAAAATGGACAAAAAAAAGAAAAATTTAAAAAGTAAAGAAAAAGTATTCTTCCATCTGCATTCAGACCCTGACAGTTCTTTCTCTGGTGATGGATGCCATTTTTCATTATAAGGCCTTCAGAACTGTCTGATCCAAGACAATTCCAAAGGATCCATGATGAAAAATGCTGTCCACCTCCAGACGCAGAATGGATGAACTCTAAATGCAGACTGAAGCATATTTTTCCCACTTTTTAAATTTTTATTGTTTTCTTTCACAACATGGCTAATATGGAAATATGTTTTGCATGACCTCATATGTATAATATAAATCAAATTGCATGCTTTATCAAGGAGGGGGAGGAGAGGAAGGGAGAGAATTTGGAACTCAAAAATTTTTTTAAATTATTGTTTTAAAAAATTACATATAATTAATTGGTAAATACTTAATGAAATAAAATATTTTTTAAACTCAACTGAAAGTAGTACTTGAAGTGTAGTGAAAACTGAAGATAACATTTTTTTCACATCCAAGTTCACAGATCCCCTAAAATAGATTTACAGGGGTCCAAGAACAGCAAAACCTTTCTACTAGATGGCCTCTACGTTCCCTTGCAGTTCTAGATGTAAGATCCTCAACTAAGGAAGACTTTGTAGGAAGAGTGAGAAAAGTAAATCCAAGAGAATAGTGTAAACATCTATAACAATGTAAATAAAAACACTTTTTTAAAAAGCAAAACTAAGATAAGCAACAAAATTCAGGTCAAGTACACTAGTCAATGTCAGTATCCAGCTATTAAAGAGTTAAGCACACACCCTTCCTTTCTGTTAACATTCAGTAACTATAATACTCGAAAGTGGTATATACTATTGGTCATAATCATGTTATTAGATGGTTTGAGGAATGGTTCGAGATGACAGTTGCTTTATTATTTTGGGAGAAGTATGCGCTGTATCAAAACAGAATGTAAAGGGGGAGCTAGGTGGCCTAGTGGATGCAGCACCGTCTCTGGAGGCATAAAGACCTGAGTTCAAATACGACCTCAGACACATAACACTTACTAGCTGTATGACTCTGGGCAAGTCACTTAACCCCATTTGCCTCACCAAAAAAAAAAAGTATCAAAAAATTAAATCTGAATTTGTAGTATATGATTGACTTTTAAAATTCTTATCAAACTCAAGAATTTTCCAAGTGACAAAATGGAAAACCGCAGAAAAAACTGCTGTCATTTTTCTGTTCAATTGTCTTTTATTTAAGATAGCATAATGTAATAAAAATATAGGATTAGGAGTCATAAGACTTGGATTCTGGTTCTGGTTCCGCTATGGGTTTGAAGTCATTCCTCTCTGGACCTTAGCCTCTTCCTATATAAAAGGTTGATCTCCATCATTTGTAATGGTAAGATTTGAAGACAAAGGGATAACTTTTTTTCCCTTTCTGAACAAATGTAAAGGGCAGCAAGGCCTAACGTTTTGTTTCCAACTCTCTTCCCTTCAATAAATCTACTCTTATCTAGAATGTAAACCCTTGGAATACAGAAACTGGGTTGTATTTAGATGCTGCTATACAGCCTCCAGATGGAGGCTGTCTACTTCCATATGAGTCAAGCAATAATGTAAAAGCAGCATAGCAAAGTGAACACAGTTATGGACCTGGAGTCAGGAAGACTCTAGGTTCAAATCCTACCTCTGATCTTACATTTACTAAACCATTCCAAGTAGTCTTTTAACTTAAACCTCATTTTCCTCATCTGCAAAATGGGACTGACAAGATTACTTGAGAATAAATGCGACAATGTATATAAAGCACTCTGCGAGCTTTAAGGAGCAAGAGTCAGTGGTTGCTACGTCTAGTTATCTTTCTTTCTGTGTGCCGGGTTTCCTCTGCTTCCAGCTCCGCTTAGCATCTCGATTCCCCTTCTCTGACACCTCCCCCAGGGGCATGTCAGCCCCAGGGAGACCAGGCCCACCTCGGCACCTCCCGACCCCTTCTCGGATCCGTTGTACACTTCCCGCCTCCAGCCAAAAAAAGAAAGAAGGAAAGAAAGACAGAAACCCAGCCCAAGCTCCACCGGTCAGCTCGGCCAAGGCCGGACCCTCAGGGCTCAGGGCCGGAGCAGCCGGGACCCCACGCCAGGGTGGTCGGCGTCCTCCCCGCGGGCCTGGCGGGGCGGGCTCCCCAAACTCGGTGAAATCTGGAAAAGCTCCGGTCACAGCCGCCTCCTCTCAGCAGACGCGGCTGGTCCGCACCACGCCGCCTCCCCGGGGGGCGACGCTACTCACCGTCCAGGGAGACGAACTGGCCCACGGCCGAGGAGCCGCCGCCGCTGTTCTCCACGAACTGCACCTCGGACACGATGATGTTGTCCTCCAGCACGGAACCGCAGCCCGTGCACACCGCATCGCCGCGGCCTGGGTCTAGCTCGATGTCCGTGCCGCCGCAGCTGCGGCACACGCGGCCCGTCATCTCGACACCCACCGGGGCCGCGGCCGCCAAAGCCCAGGTGGGTTCCTTCCCAGACCAGGTGAGCGCTCAGAGCCCCGGCCCAGGGCCCTGCGGTGCAGAGCCCAGCTCTCCCAGCCCTGGAAGCCAAGTCCCGTTTGGGCCTCTTCTCCTCTCGCGATCCTGCGGGCGCCAAACGGTCCCGCCCCCTCTGCCTTCTTTCCCCCCGCCCCTCCCTTGCGCTTCTCCAGGGGCCGAGCGGCCGCGGCGAGGAGCTGAACTGCTGTCGGAACCGCCACCAACCGTCGGCGCCGCTCGCTGCGTGGGGCCGTGCTGCGTGACGGGAGGGCAGGAAGGCACTAGGACCTCGGCGGGGAAGCGGCGAGCTTCGAACCAGATTCTTGGCACCTCCAAGCTCTGGTCGGCCGCCCTGCGTCCTAAACGAGTAGGAGCCCTGCTGGCTCGGATCCTGCCTCTAGGGAGCCCGAGACCCAACGGGGAACTGCCGGGGAGAATGCGCTTCCCCAGCGGCTTGGCCGTGTCTCTGCCTCATCTCTTCCGCGCTTCTCTCCAGTTGTGCCCAGATGTTCTTCAGAGCGCGGAGCATCCCCACTTGGAGCTGAGGACACGAAAAAGCGAAACCGACTCTGCCTTTGGAGACCGTGTGTTCTGCTGGCGGATGCAACGCGGAGCCGGGTAAGAAAAATGTCTGAGAACCCGGACCGCAGAAACACCCAGGGAAACATCGTCTAATGGGGATAAGAGCATCTTACTTTATGGGATCGTTCTGAGCATCACATGACAGAACGCTACGTGGAGCACTTTATAAACAAGTTATGCTTTTGAATGTCATGAAATACTATTGTGTTGTTAAAAAAAAAAAAAGATGATTTCACCTAGGAAGATTTTGAACTGATGCAAAGTGAAGTGGGAATAAGTTACATAGCTACAACAAAATTTTAAAATAATCAACTATGAAAAGCTTAGTAACTCTGATCAACACAAAGACCCACCACAATTCCAAAGGATTCCGAAAAGACATCTCTAGTCTCTTTTCACCACTCCCTTCTCCAGGGGAGACTTTAAATTCCCACAGGGTGGAGAAGCAAGAGGTTGGGGCCATAGAGAGGGGGTCCCTGGCTAGAATTATATTTTCCCGCTTACTTAAATAGTATTCGTCTAAGGGATGTGATTTTCTTGTACAATCTAAAATTCTGATCACCGTTTACTATTGGGAAGAGGCAGGACCAACCCTCCCTCCCCCAATAAGCTTCACCTATTCCCACCAAATCCCAGTTTGACAATGAACACACATAACACTTAGCCAAGAAACCCATTTATCCAAAATAGGTGTCGAAATAGAAGCCAGAGAAATTATACATAACAGAATATGTACTGGCGGCTGGCACCAGGGATGGGGAACCTGGGGCCTGGAGGCCACATGTGGCCTTTGAGGTCCTTTTGACTGAGTCTGAGTTTTACAGAACAAATCCTTTTATTAAGGGGATTTGTTCTGTAAAGTTTAGATTCAGTGAAGGGGTGCACCGTGGCCTTAAGGCTCCAGGTTCTCCAGCCTTGTTAGATAATGCAATGTGAAGGAGCTCTCCCATTGGGAGCAACTGTAACCAGAGAGAAAGAGAGAGGTAATCTAGTGAAGAAAGGTAAGGACAGGAACACAACGTAGACTGCCAGCTCCTCTTGTGTCAGCTTCTTCCCAGTCTTTTCTTCAGTAACCTGAAATGGGGTTGGCATCTTCCATCTTTTCTCTAGATCTGGAAGTCAGAAATTCTTGAAACTAAGGGAAACAACTCCAAGAAGACTTGAGTTTTTCTTCCTTTGTTCCAGCCAACTCCTCCCTACCCCTGAGACAAACTCAGGGCATTCATCTCTACCAGTGAGGAGACAGTCCCATGCTAATGGGTTTTGGAACTTAGATTGCAATGAAAAATGCTCTAGATAGAGAATTGATGGAATCAGAGTATAGACTGAAGCCTATTTTGAAATTTTTTTCTTGCTTTTTTTTTAGAACATGACTAATGCAAAAATTTGTTTTGCATAATTCCATATTTGTAATGGGTTTTGTATTTCTTCCTTTCTCAAGTGGGAGAGGAGGTGGAGGGAGAGAGAGAATTTGGAACTAAAAATAAAATAAAATGGAATAAAGTGCTTTACAAATGAATGAGCCATGAAGAAAAACAGGAATATTCCTCCTATTTTCCTCTTTCCTTTCCCTTCACATCTCTTTCCTCTTCCTCTCTGGTTTGTTCCATCCTTTACCTTCATTTATTTTACCCTAAAAGAGCTTTAGCTTCTTTCCTTTGCCTTCATTGTTGTCCTCCACATCCTTTTCTTTCTTTGATTCCATTCTCCCACACTGCATCTTCATTTTCTCTTCCCATTCCCTTTTCTCCCTTCTCTTCTCCCTCCCTTTATCTTCATTCTTTCTCTCCTTCTATCCATTATTTGGCTTCTCTCAGAATGCATTCTCATTTTTACTATGCCCATTCTTTACTAGCTATAATTTCCATTCCCAAAGTCAGTGCTGATGATCTAATCTCCATGTTCATTCTTCTCCATCTCTTATCTACATTTTGCAACTTATCATTTTCATTCTTCAAGTCCTGTCTTCATTCTCTTCGACCCCCAAATCCTAATTCTATTCCACTCCTGCTGTCCACAACCCCTACTGTAGCTTCCTCTTCTGCTTTCCTTCAATCCCCTTTATCACCCACCATTCTTTACCCTAGGGTCTATATTATTCTCCTTGGCATCCTCCATTCTCCATCCTGTAGATCAGGGGTTTTTTAACCTGGGGGTCCAAGGACTGAACTAGGATAAGAAAAAAAATCTGACCTTTGTATTCACTAAGAGGAAGTTAAGTGGCAAAGTGGATAGAATGCTGGACCTGGAATACAGAAGACCTGAGATTGCCAGCTCCTCTTGTGTCAGCTTCTTCCCAGTCTTTTCTTCAGTAACCTGAAATGGGGTTGGCATCTTCCATCTTTTCTCTAGATCTGGAAGTCAGAAGTTCTTGAAACTAAGGGAAACACCTCCATGAATTGGGCCTCAGATGCTTACTAACTGCATGACCCTGGGCAAGTCACTTAACTCTATTTGCTTCAGTTTCCTCATCTGTAAAATGAGCTGGAGAAGGAAATGGCAAACCACTCCAGTAGCTTTGCCAAGAAAACTCCAAATGGGGTCACAAATAGACACAACTGAAAAACAACAACAACATATGATGAGTAAAATGATACTGAGGCAAAATTTTCTTCAGGGCATTACAGTTTATTAACAGTGACTGTTATAGCTGTTAATAAAATGGGCTAGACTGACCTCTGTAGGTCATCAACCTGAGCATGATGAATTAATTAGTTTGGCTAGCAGTAACCTATGAAATAGGTCAATGACCTCTCTATGACCAAAAACCCTGAATGACTTTTAAAGCTAGGTATGTCTTTCTTCTGATTGGTCTGACAGTTCATCATTTGGACTTCCTCTAGCAAAGGTAAAACAATTTCAATGGTAGATATTTTAATGAAGTGTGTTAACAGTTACCTCTGCTCCTTCTGGTTGGGAGACCAAGAGGCAGAATTAGTCTTTATTTGGGGAAAATGGGTTGGCCTTCAGGTGTTGGTCAAGCCCTTCTCTGACAATTAGGAAATGCTAATTGATTTATGGACCTCAGATGCCTCTAGCAATCTAGAAAAGCAGAATCACCCCAGTCAGGATCCTTTCCCTCCACCCCCATTAGAAAAAATGAACATTTAAAAACCAGTTCATTTTACTTACCATGTCAATAGTATAATGTTCTCCCAGATATGTAGAATGCAGTGAATCCCCTAAAATGTTTTAATTGTTACACAGTTCAGTTCTTGTGAAGTCTTTTGTCAGGTAGTGATTAAATTGCAGCTCTAAAAATTATCCAAGCTGATTTGTTTAGAAAAAAGAAGTCCTTCTGGAGAACCAACCAAAATATTTTTTCAGCCCAGTAGTTGAACGGATTTAAGTATTTTGCACTAGCTATGCCTTAATTACTTTGTTATAGAAATTCAGTGATATGCTAAAAGGAGACAATGCATTTTGAAATTTTATTTCAAAAGAGACTAGTATTCAGTTAAGAATTTCCAGTAAGACCACATCTAATATTCATAACTGTCTGCTTGTTTACAGATTTTTGTATTTCAATATGACATAATGCTCTCCAAAGAAACTTAGTCATGATATTAAGTTTATTGTTTATCATTTGGGTGTGAATATGTAGTATTTTCAGAAGTTAGCATCCTTTCATACTTGTGTATCTATGTATATTCAAACTTAAAGCATCTTTCTTTTTCTTAGTGGTATTGTGGTACACCTTCACTGAAAATGATCATTTATGCTACCTGATAAGGTCATTTCAGGTTCTTTTATTGAAGTTTTAAAATGGATTACTAAGCATAGTTCTCATAGGATAATGGCTTATTTTGACACATTTTGGAATCCATCCTGATAGTTGTAATGAATGAATGTTATTTGAGAGAAGGGAGCAGGCTTTAAAAGCAATTCTGCATCTATCAATATGCAAGTATGAATGAAGCAAATTTTAAATTAATCTTTTGAAGAACATTATTGTTAAAGTTAAATCTATTATAATATTGGGGGTAGAACTAGTCAGAGACAAGAATTTCTGGGTTCTATTCCAATTCTCATTGCTTAATATGTGTGCATTACTTATGCACATTTAAATGGTTAGTATAGTTTATGCTCAGAAGAGTGTTGAGGCATATTAAGTTAAACTATATAAAAATTGTTCTTGATCATTAGAAAGTTAGATATGTGTGTCATATTTAGCACCTTGCTTGGATCAGAGTTATATATTTCAGACTGGAAGGGCAATGGTTAGTACTTCTTTATTAGATTTCTATAAGAGACATTTTTATGACAGATCTTTGTGTGGCTTCTGGAATTACTGCTACGAGTCATATGAAAGCATCCAGGAATTCTAGATTTAATGACTGTAATGGATTCCTTTTTCAAGAAAGCATTATGAAAGCTGGGAAATTAAAAGCCACACTAAAATACCCCAAGCTAATTACAATTTATTATTATTATTGCAGGAGGAGAATGGTCAATTTATTTGAAAGATTGGTGGTGAAGTTGACAGTGTCCATTAATGAATTCCAAAAATAAAAGGA